TTTTCTGAAATCTCTTCTGTTCTTCCTGTTAAAGTCCTTCTTTAATGTTTGCATTAAATTAGCTAAGAAAGTTATTTCTAATTATTTTTTTCCGGTTTCAAATAAACTAGGTGGTGCTTTTTTTTCTTGTAGTATCATGCTGTTTTCCTTCTCAGTCACATCAATATTGATTATTGTTTATTTGTGTTTAAATGGCACTTAGGAATCCATGCCCTATTGTGCTTGGTGTGTGTATTTGCTTTGAAGCACCAAGTATGCTGGTTGTGGGTTTTTTGCTTTGGTTCTTAAGTGTCTTTATGAACTGTAACCGATGCACAACCTGCCGAGGCAGGTGACGTTATCTGCTCTGTAGAAGCAACCTGGCTAAATCAGTAGCAAAGCAGTTCAGTGCAGCAGTGTGGGGGGAATCTTGTACAGGTGGTGTCCATATGTGTTGGGTATATGCCTGGAAATGGGAAGGGTGATGGTAAATTTTTTCATCTATCAGTATATCATTTTTCACAAGGGGTGGAATTTTTTTGAAGGCTTAAGGGAAGGACAAATTTTGCTCAAGGTTCTTTCGTTTTATTACTGTAAGATTTATAGCATTGCCAAGCCCCTTACTTGGATTGATCCCAGACCTGCCATCCCTCATTCATTTGGAGTGCAGAGCTCTATTCCTCTCTTTTTCCAACTTTTACTCCAAAGGTGGAAAAAAATCAGCATTTGAACTATTTTTTGAAGGGATTAGTTTGTTCAGTCCTTACTTCTAAATTAGAAAGTAAGGAATGTTTTAAGGAGGCTGAGATTTCCATAGTTTTATTCTACATCACGTGATAACATTTTCAGTTTTAGAGTACTAACATGTTTCTACTTGAATTCAACCAACTCACTTCCTGCCCTGTTAAAGTCACTTTGTCTGCCTCAGTTCCCTGCTGCTTCAGACTTAAAGCTATTACCTTTTGGCCTGGATCAACCCATCCTGACACTGAGATGAAGGCCTGACTGAAGAAAACATTCCAAGAATGGTTTATCCTTTGCTAGTTGATATAGATTTTCTAATGCAGGGTTGCTTTTTTGGCTTTTCATTCTTTCAGCACTGCTGAGGCCAAATGTCTTCCCAGCTACTCTGAAATCTTTCAGCAGTTCACTTTCTTCTTACTACCTGAACAACTTTGGGAGGTGGCTGCATGCGCAGAGATGCTATCATGTGCACTGGCTCTTGAGCCCAGTACTTCAGTACCTCAAGGAGTTGAGTGGCAAGATCTCTCAAAGTCTGACATTTTCCTGGAGTACAGTTATTCCAGCATGCTTTATTCTGAATACTGAATCACAGAATCCAGTATTCTGTGTCTGAAATTATGGCTACTGTGTCCAAAAGCAATTTCTCCTAATTTACATGTGTCTTCCAGAATGTTCCTTCTTAAATGAGAGAACCAATGCTGTCCGTTCTTGAAGTGTGCTTCTACCCTGTGTATTTTGTTACAAACAACTAATTAGGTGTGTTAAATGCTGTTTCTCAGTGACCAGTATTGCTGAACCACTTATTCCATATATAGGAAAAACAATAGACACAACTTGATGACAATCTCATCATAGACACCTAAGGGAAGGTATAATTTTTAACTTTTAGCAAGGTTTAAATGACTGGGGACAAAGTCTAGACAAATGATTTTGGTCATTACAAAGACAGGCTCTGAGCTACGTTTCTAGGGCTGCCCTTCTCTATTCACATGGTCTGTAGCTTCCGGAACTGAATTGCAGCTTGTCCAGCCATTTGGTTCATAACCTGGCTTTCTTCTGGCTCAAAATTGTGCATGTTTTGCTTTTTGCTGCATTGTTCTTTTGTACCTGTCTTTTGTCAGCTGGCACAACAACAGACAAGAGTCCTAAGAACTGCTCTAAATGCACTTTCATGTTCCTCCTACCCCTCCCCCTGGTCTCCCCTCTCTCCCCCCCTGCCCTGTCCTAAATTCCATTAATATTTACAGAACAAGAGCCAGTACTCCTGCATTAGCCTCAAATTCAGAATGAGATTTTTCTGGCTCTATCTGCAGCTAATGCAGAAGACAACAGAAGTTAGAAATGCACTTTTTTAAAAACAGAATAAAACAAAAGGCCTTTTCATATCCAACACACTGGATGAATTGTGTTAAATGTAAATAGGCTTACAAAGACCAGAGTATATGTAAGAAAATATTTTCTGTATTGTTGTTGGAAGGCAGAGGAACATGAAATTATTTGCTCATTGACTAAATTAAAAGTTCCTTAGCTTTAAATTATATAAACTCATTTATACCATTGTTTCTTCAAATTTTGTGTGGGGAAAAAAGAATTCCTTTCTTCAGTTTACTGGTTCATTTACAGGTTAAGCAGTAATATCAAAAAGTCAAATGAAGAGATTTGCCAAACATGAAAGAGAACAGTGTTGATAGTTAGAAACCAATGATGTACAAACTAAGCATTTGTAAGGACCTTCAGTCCACCAGTGAAGTTTTGCAAACATAAATTTCATAGGCAAACTGAGAAACTGGGAGGAGAGTGGAGAGAATGAAGAATTCAGATGATTTTAAATGTTTTCTTTGACCCCCAACTAAGTATTTAATTTCTGTTGCTAAGAACACTTTTTATGCACTGAACCTTTATAAATTGACTTAAAAAAACCCCCACAAAACAAAAACAAACAAACAAACAAACAAAAAAAAAAATCAACCAACCAACCAACCAAAAAACCCCAAAATAACCTAAATATTTGTGTTCTTCCAAATTATTTTTATTTTAAAGTTGTTTTATTAATTGGAAAGTATTTGCTGACTTCTACGGTAGTCTGCACATGTACCTCTCTGCCCCCTTCCCATGAATGTTTCAATACTTGCTTTTCACTGGCCCTGGGAAGGATGGCTAGTGTCCATTTCCAGTTTGCATGGAGTTCTGGCTACTGGTGACCTCAGCTAGTTGTGAGCAGACAATTTTTTTAACTATGTGAAGTAACTGGATTGTGTCCATCTTGTGAGGCCAAGGGTTATTTTGGAGCACAGAAACTGATCTGCATTCTTTAAACATAGAAGGAGTTCATCTGCACGTTCTGTGGAAGATGATTTGGCAAAGCAGTCTAGGGAAGCTGACTCTGCAGCATGTGTGTGCTGCTCTTTCTCTAAGGAACTGTGAGAACGTGTTTTAACAAAGGATTCCTTAATCTATCAGATACCCCAGAATACATAGCCACAGAAAAAGTTGTTGGGTTGTAGCTTTTTTCATTCAATATGGATTTATTTATTCTTAAATTTCTGTCCTTCCAAGAAGATACCGATATCCTTCAGTCTGTCCTTTAGTCTGTAAACTTATATTTTTTTTTCTAAGAAGGGCTCTTACTTTCTTCTCTGCTCTCTGACAATAGAATTGGGTTACCGCACTTTTCTGATGAACCTACGTTTTCCAGATAAATGAAAACATAGGGGGTTATTTTTCAAAACTGAAACAGTTGGATTGCCTTTTTGTTTTACTAGGATAAGCATCCGTGATGCTCTGGGGAATGGAGAATGATCTAAAATAAGCCTAGCTGTTTTTTGTTGTTTATCTGTTTCTTTTTGCATCTGTCTTAGTATTTATTGCTACCATCTGCATTTCGTTTCAGGTTGTCTAATGTCTTATTCTGCATGTTCTGTGCCTATTCTCTTTACATAGCCTTGGGCTGTAATATCACCATTTGCCTACAAGAGATCCATTTCTATCTGTAACAAAATGGATTGCATTCATCTGTGTAATTCATTTCTAATGAATGCCTTGCTCCTCATTAAACAGTGATTTACCTTTGTTTCCCTTTTCTACACTGTCAACACTAACCATTTTGAGGTCCTGTGGAGAGATGCTAATTTGAGAAAGCAAAAGTCAGTGCAACTAAGAACTCACAAATGCCATCCTCATTGGCACTTTCAAAAATATTCACAGGACATTTTGTGAAATACAGTTTGCAGGTGGATGAGAAGACTCAAAATGTTTTCTTACTCATAAACTTTCAGTGTACAAAGACAACACTTCAGAGTTTAAATGCATTTCTCCTGGTCAGTGTCTTGAACAGGCAGCCAAACTTGTGAATCTTTAAGACCATGTCTACTCTGCAGGAATTGTACAGATCACAGTCATGTTTGGGGAGATACTCTTGATGCACTGACCCCTCTGCACCTTTTCAGGAATACTAAAATATTTCAAGCTTATTTTAAGAATAACATTTTGAAATACTTTATTTTGAAATATTTTAGAATGTTTCAGACTTGAAAATATTTTAGTTTTTTTTTTTTTTTTGGAGATTCAAATATTAATATAAGCATTTATTGGCTTATGTATCTAAAGGAAAATGGTTAGTACCATAAACTAATGAAATAGGGGTCGTATAGTAATTTTATTACAGATTTGGTCCATATGTGACTTTTCTGTAATGCCCTTTCAACCTATCCTGCAGCATCGCCTTTTCCAGCCCTGCACTTTCCAGAACAGCAGAATCTGCTGTGTGTGCAGATAGATCTGAACTGCTGACAGATGATGGTTAGAGTATAGGATGAATTACCAAGTTTATTTTCACTTTAAACCTAAGCAGAGTTTGAACTGCAGCGACAGATTATAAATATGAAAACACTGTTGGTAAACAAAATTTAAAGCAATATAGATGGTTTTTAGGTAGTTGTTTTATTTACAGCATCTTTAATTCTTATTCTAGTGATAGTACAAGCTACTCGTTGACACTTTTGACCACTCGCATGAATTTAGCTTGGCATTTTACAATATTTATTGTTGTGTTTGGCCAGATTGATCCCCTGTTGAAACCCTAGAATTGTCAGTGGGCATCAGTTGAGTTACACCATGGATTAATTTGATCATAGTATTATGAGGGGATTGAAGCATGGGAGGTTTTTGGTTTTGTTTTTGTTTTTTTTTTTTTAACTGGTCTTGCCTAAGTCATGTAGTATTTGGAAGTAAGAATACTGATTAATGTAACAAAATTTTATTTTTAATATACATTTTAGAGGACAAAACTGACCTTGAGAACAGTGTGATGCAGAAGAAAATTAAAATCCCCAAACTCTCTCTCAATCACGTAGAAGAAGCTGGGGAGGTTACAGATTATGGGGAAGAAGATGTGGAGCTTAGACACAGTAAGGTACTGAAGTATTTCCTTTTTTTTTTGAATTTTTTTCCTTTCTTTTTTTTTTTATATTTTTTTAAATTATTATTTTTTGTTTTGGAAGTGCTTGGGGCATATACAGATGTCATAGCTTAAGAATTCCAGGCCTGCTTTTGATCCCCTTAAAACACTGTGTTTGGTGAAATTGGGTCAAATTGTGTAGGGGGGGTGGGGTGTGGGTTTTCAAAACTTGATTTATGTGCCATCGAACACTTTCCTGTTTATATCGTCTGCACAGTTTAATTGCCATTTGAGATTTTTGGAACAATGGTCTTCCACTTTGGCCCAGAACACTTCAAAAGTTACCGGTTATATGAAGGTCGAGCAGCCATTCTTGGTGGTACTTGTGACCTGTTGTGCGCTGCTTGTTTGGAATTGGAAGGGGTGCTCTGACACTTCCCAACTACAGCAGTGGGTGAGAAGACAAATTGACAGGAATGCATCCCTCCATTATAACTGCCAGTTGCCTTTTTATGTTCAGATGCCAGAAACCCACTATGTAAATGTATTTTTATATCAAATGATTTCTTTAAAAGTCTGCCAACCTTCAGAATAAAATACTGCTCTGTGGCTTCATGTGTTTTGCAGCTGCAGGAATGAAGCTAGTACGTTTCTGGTGGGCCAGCTTTTTTTTTTTTTTTTTTGTGAACATGCGTGGAGCAGGCATAACATCAAATACTCTCATTTTCTGCCACATTACTCATGGATATGGTGGTATGGGAATTGACAGTGTCAGCTTCTTGTCTCTAACCTATGAGCTACATTTGCTTTCCTCGCAATTACTTGGAAGTTCAAATGCTTTTTCCATATTTGGCCAATAAAACTTAGGGACTTTTACCCGTACTGTCACATACCACTATCCAGGCCCCAGAAAAGAGGTGTGCTTTAATTTGTAGGGTTTGTTCAGGTGACTGAAGGTAAATTTTGGCTGAGAGTTCAAAGGACACAAAGCCTCTGCAATGCAGTACTAATATAGAAGGAATGAGTTGATGACCAAGATGAGGCTGGATGATACCTTCTGTCTCCAACTTCTGTGTTTTCAATTCCCTTTCAGTGTTTGCTGATAGTGTTAACTCAGTCACTTGCATCAGGCAGTGGGGTGAATGTGCTAGAGGAATAGTCAGAGAAGGTTTTGTCTCCCAAAGTGTGGGAAGCACAAGCCCCCTGTTCACAAAAGAGCTTTATATGGTATGTTGCTTTCGTCTCTGATGTCATTACAGGTGACAAACATAGCACATAGTTGAGTCTTTCTCTTATCAGAAAATCAATTGCTGTTGTAAATCTGTTAGGGGTAAACTTTAAAGGAAAAGAGATCGAGATCCACTTTTTTTGGAAGAAATTAATTATCTTTATATATGGAATCAAGTGACCTATGTACGTACATGGAGCTTGCAAGTGTTGCACAAATGCAGAAAGAAAGGCCTTTAAGTGCCTCAGAAGTTTGTATATGCATTTAGCTGAATTACACATGCATGACGGTTACAATGTATATCCACAAGAATCTGTTAGACACAATGTTTTTGCAGGCAGACTTTGTATTGCTTTTTCTGGAAAACAAGAATAAGAATATTAACAGTTCTCAAGTCTGTAAAAGTTTGATTTTATTATATCTTACTGCGCTCCTAATTTATTTATTTTTTTATTTTAACATGCAGAGACAAGATGGGAGGAAACAAAGTGAAGGTACGCACAAAAGCATTGAAGCAGTTGTTGCTCGCCTTGAAAAACAGAATGGGATGAGTCTCAGTAATAGTTCCAGCCCTGAAGAGGCTTTTATGGAGACTTCGGAAGGCATGAACAACATGGACGATGCTGTAGTTCCTCGGATTCTGTATGAAGAATTGCTGAGGAGTTACCAACAGCAACAAGAAGAAATGAGACACATTCAACAGGAGCTTGAGAGAACGCGGAGACAGCTTGTGCAACAGGCAAAGAAGCTAAAGGAGTATGGGGCACTCGTGTCAGAAATGAAAGAGCTCAGAGACTTGAACAGGAGACTCCAGGATGTACTGCTTCTAAGACTAGGTAGTGGTAAGTGCTGGACTTAAATGGGACTAGTTTTAATGAATTTTGCAAGTGTGATCAATAGTAATGGAAACGTATTTGAAGAATAGCAGTGGTTGTTAAACCGGACATTGAATGTTAAAAGGGTTTTCTGCTATGGCTGTACAATATGTGTCGAATTTGTATCCTATGTATGTCTGGGTTTTTCTTTAATGATAGTAGAGGTCTTTGTGCTGGTATGGTTGAATCAGAGTTCCGTTTTAAGCAGCTGTATTTTAAAGAGTCTCTGACCTTCCCGTATATGCTGAAAAAAATAATAAAGCATCATCTGCAAAATATACCAATATGTTCCAGTTTAAAAAGAAAAAAAAGAAGAAAGAAAAGGGAGCAGAATGAATATTTGGGCTAAAACTACTTTTTTCAGTTAGGGATTTTGGTTATTGTTATGTAAGTGACTGTGTTACCTTCCATTTTCTGCCCCCTCTTCCCGTTACTAGCTCATTAGAATGTGATATATTACTGAACTTCTTAGCAGTGGCTTTAAAACAGCCATGCTATTTGAAAAATAATGAATTGTTACAAGAATAATTTAAAAAACTTCTTATATTAGCGTCCCGTTTATCAACATTTGTTACAAAATGCAGGTTTGTGTAATTTGGATTTAAATTCTAAATATCTTGAGTCAATTGCTCATTTGTTTTGGTTTATAACAGTTATTTAACCATTATGTTGGAATAAATGGGAAAAAAGACAAAATAAAAAGTTCATCCTTTTCACTGAAGATGGTACCCTTGGAATACCTTCAAATATTTTACTAATTTTATATTTATTTGCTATTAGAATGTGGTACTGCTGTGTTGAAGATTTGCTCGATGACTGAAACTTGGTTAAAATTTGTGCATCCAAACTTAGCATGCTGTTTCTTATGTCTGCCTTTGTGTATCTGGAAACTTAATTTTTGCATGTAAATTGGATATTGGCTCTTCTATTTGACTTGAATGAGTGCATGCAATTTGCATGTGGGTCTGAGTTATATTCACATACGAATCTGAACCCGAGAGAGCATGTGCCTGGGCTGTAGCATGTGTTAAGGTGTGCCCGCAAGTTTGGAGCAAGGTTCTTAAAGTAGCATCTGACAATTTAAATGGGGTGTTTGATTGTGAATGCTCATCATTGTTACACTGTGCATAATTAAAATGTCATTACTTATTACAAACATTCTAGTTAACTTTTTAAATAAAACTAAATAGGTAAGGTTTCCACAGTCTCAAAAACGTGATGTGGTTAGCAGTAGATTCCACAGACCTTTCTAAAATTTTCCTTGGATCCTTCATCTGCAAATAGTTAGCTGGAATTTATGTGAATGGAGCACCAGCCAGATGTTAGTAGGCAATGGGGCTGAACAGTGTAAAATACCAATTTAGTTGGTAGACTTGACAGCAATTTAAGTGGTGAGACCAGCAATGAAATGAAGACAGCTTCTGAATTCTGTCTTGTTTCTTTCGCTTTAAGAAAGAAGGGATGCAGTTTGTATTTGAGCTGAATCAAGAGACCTTGGAAGAAAAAAGAAAAAAATACCAAAACCCAAAACCTCTTGAAAAAATGCTGAATCTTCTCTAAATACTGAGCTTGAATTTCCAATTGTATCAGTCTGGCACCTGCTTTACAACTGAAAATAAATCTTGATTACATTGAAGACAAGTTCTTTTAATTTAATCATATACCTGGACAAATATGAATTATAGTTAACTTCCAAAAAATCCCATGTTGTTTTTACTTGTATGGAACTTTTCATGGATGACAAAGGTACAATTTGGCCCTATGGACTGTATTCTTCAGAGGGTGTGTTCCTAAGACTCAGTGTATTAACTGCTGATAACTCTTGCCTTTCCTTGTAGCTTCATTCAGAGTAGTGAAACAATCAGATTCTAGAAAGATCAATACAAAATTTATGAATTATTAGAGAGGGAGACATCTTCAGCAAGTTACAAATTAGAGAGCCTGATGACAGTATGAGAAAGTGCTACTTTTAATCAAGAAATAGATATGTAAAGACTTCTTTAGTCTTCCTTACTTTTCCAGGTTGTAAATGAGGTATGTTTGGATATGTGAATAATCTGTGAAAATTGTTCAGGAAATAGATTACATCCTGAATTCATCTTCAGTTGTTGCAGCAATCTCTTAAACCTAGAGTTTCAAATGACATGTAATTTATGTTATGCTGCACTTCTAACAGGCTGGACTTAATGCAAACTAATTGCATTTCTGTTTTACCTTAGAGACTTCTGATTTCTTTGCATGAGATGACAGCTGTTTTGTGCTGATGAATTGCAGCTGTGGGAAACGCATGCCTGTTGCCATTTTAAACTTGCAGATCAAATATAGAACAGCCTCTTGAGCTAACATTCAGTCAAGTATTCAGTTTCCTAATTTCCCATCAATATGTTGATTTCAGTGAGCAGCTAGAAGTCAGTGTATTCTACTTCAGACCTAGGCCTTCATCTCTGCTGCTAAACTTGAGCCACTCTTGTGGGAAGAGTTGAGGTTCTTAGTCCTCCACATGGTGACACTGAATTGCTCTTTGTTTTAAAAGAGCCTTGAAAGCAGATGTGGCAGATGACAGTAGTGTAATCAGTACGGATCCATGGGATTATACTGAAGCTTCTTTATGGTTTTGATATGCTGTTATCCCACAGATCCCTTCCTGGAGGAAGCAGGCATTTGACCAGGGCTCTAGGGACCAAAACAGTGAGGGGAACATGGTGACTGCTGTGGAAGTGGTTATGGTATCCCTCATCTGAGCACCTGGAAAAATTGTGCAGCCAAAGCCTTTATTCCTTGGCCTACTTTGGGATCAGGAAGCCCTGTGATCATAGGCCTTTGCAGTTTATCTTTATTCTGTTGCACCTGAAAACACACTCATGTGCCCTGTTTTTATCAAGAGAGTAAACTGATTTAGAGAATTAAATCATGGACTCTTCCCTGTAGGTCTATTCAAATGGTCCTTGGTGAGATCTGTGCACTTTACTATGATTGTATATGGCCAGAAGGTGTGAAGTTGTATCAGGGATAATGTTTGGGGGTTGTTCACTCCCTGATAAATACTGCATTTTCTTGTTGTATTGCTAAGAATTAGTCTTGCTCTAAAGTCAGGGAGTATACTCACTTTCATTCATAGACATTCTTTCATCAATGTGCACACAGCCTCACAGGTGGTTATTTTTAATCCTAGTTTAATTTCAGTGATCCAGTTTATAGTGTGTTGGGCCTGACACCAGGATAGAGAGAATGAAATGGTATCTGTCTTCCAACGTGTAAGGAATTACTGCTGTTTGGTTTTTCTAGATTTGTTTGGCTGTTTGATATAAAGAAGAGTCCAAGGTTTCTATCAAGTATGAGTACAGAAAGTACCATATATATACTATTACCACTTCTCAGACTCCTGTTGTTTTCATTCAAATTCTGGTAGATCATGTGGGAAAACAGCTTGCTACTTACAAATATATATTGACCACTTATCAGTTAATTTATTTTGTCTTTTTTACTAATTTTTGAGTAGCATGTAGCTTAAGATGCAGTTTTGAGGAGAAGAGGTGATGAAGGGAAGTCTTCTACCTCTTCATCCTGCATTTGAAGTTGCTAGCCCCTCAGATATTATGGAAATTTTACAGTCAGAAGGAGAAGGATTTTGCAATAAAACATTTTTCTTTTTTGCATTCTGAAGAATTGTCTTTTTTTTTTAATGATCCTTATTATGTAAGTAAAATACTGTTAAGCCTTTAGATAGTGCAATATATTTTTGTATGTTCCATTCACCATCCTTAAAATAAGACACAGAGCATGAGAGCTACAGAGAGAGGAAGAACCTTTTAGCGTGTGGTGTGTGGTAAATTGGGCACACAACTCCAATTAGCAGTAAGGAAATAATGCAAGTTGCATGTCTAATTCACAACATGCCAGGCTGAAAATGCAGTCTTTGGTAGTTGTGAAGACTACCTAGTTAGAGGTGGATTTCTGTTTGGGAAGAAAAAAAACAGTGGAATTCAAGAGAAGACATTTTAAAGGCTTCCTTTTGGTGACTTCTAAGCAAGTAGTAAAGAATGAATTACAATAGAGGTTTTTCTGACCTGTTAGATCTCTGGTTATTATGGACTTTCATCTACTGTTTTTCTTGGGGAACTCCAGAAAACAAATCGTAGCTATGTCAATAAATGACTATAAACAAAACAGTAAAGAACTTCTAAATATCAACTAGTAAAAGTGTTTAAACTGACATAAATGTTTTCTTCTAGGAAGGAGGTGGTTGTACTTGGGTGTTTTCCTCAAAGCGACTTTCAAAGTGTATAAAAACTCAGAACAGCAATTTGTTGAGGAATGTGTTCTTACAGTAACAGCTAAAAGATCACTTCTTAAGTTCACGTGGGCAATTACATCACTGCATCTGCTTGTTCAGGTGTGCCCACACTGAGAAGTGTGCAGGCTTTGGGTGATTTAATAGTCCAGGTCTTACCCCAAATCTGAATCTGGTTAGCAGTGTCAAGTTTAGACAGTTTAGTTTCTCTTGGCCGTACCATTGTATATGCATGTAGTAGAGGTGCTTATTAAGATCACCATGACATTATAATGCAAATGGTATGTCTTTTATGATTTCTCTATTTGCGTCATGCTTGCATTTCATATGGCTCTTAAGACACTCTTGTTGGTGGCACTGCAGTATAGGATTGTTTGAGCTGCTGAGACAACTTCCAGTTGTTGCCGAGTGTCAAGTGGCAGTCAGCTGAGAACGTTTAGCTGGCTGTGTAGGTGTAGAATAAGCTATATGATAAATGTCAAATGCTGACAATGGAGGAAATGCTGATATCACTGTATAATAATCTCTAAATGAAACTGCACAAAGTAGGAGGAATGAATGCTTTGCTTGTTCCAGGTACAGGAACTATTTAAGATACGTGGCTCAAGATGTAAGTTCTGGTGCCAGCTTCACTTGCAGAGTTAGATCAATTCAGGGCTTGGTCTGTGTGCGCAAACACCGAGGAGGGATGCTGAACCGTGACGGTGACCTGATTATTGACTTGTCGTTTGTTGAAGATGTCAAGGTTGGGCTACAGAGTGCTGCAGCGCTCTCAGCACCAACCTGGTACAAGATAGTTCTTACAAGTGGGTGAGTTTATCCTTATAGTTCTTGGAAGTGGCTGATTACTGTGGTGTCTAGGGTCTAAGCTGGCAGCCTTGCTATGCTAATGAACCACTGTCCCTGTGTGGAACTTCAGTGACTGCTGGAGCTTCTCATGATCCTAGAGACAGACATCAAGAGACAATGATAGGCTTGGGGCTGTAACCTGTTCCTAGACTTCTGGTGTAACCACTGCAATGAATGAAATATAGTTCACAGATTATTTTGTTTTGTTATGTCTTTTTGGGAACAATTTATAATTTGATCTGGAAAAGAAAAGTTAATGACTGGCAAAATAATTATCCTCCTTCGAAGCCTCAAACATATGCCTAGTAGTATTCTGTTGTTTAATCTGTGCTTCGTTTTTGTTGATTACATTAAAAATAAAAATCAGTGTGTTGGAAGGATTGGACAATCAAAATTCTAATTTATGTGGGTTTTTTTAACCTTGGATTTTCTTTCTGCGCATGATACTTTAGCATAAGTAGCCTAAGGCTGTTTTGTTTATAGCATTTCTGTAGATCCTCATGATGTTTAATATACCTCTATCTAAAGAGATTTCAAATCTCTGTAAAATTTGTAATTCTATATGGATAATTTCTGTAATTATCACAGTAAATTATGCAGGTTTCTGTGCAACCATATAGTAGTTCTTATCTGAAGAATTACTATTGTTGCTTTTGGTTTATAATTTCCATGGTGTGCATTGAAGCAATCTTACCCCTATCTGTAGTTGTCCATATGTTCTAAGAATAAAATTAAGCAATTAAATTAAAATGAAACATTTTAATGCTTATAAGGCAGAGTTACTTCCTGCTTTTATTTATTGACTTTCAGAAGTAGGATTTTGGTTTAGACTCTAACTTTGAAATGAACATGACTAATGTGTTATTTTATGCTAACCATGGGTGATGAAGTGATTGATTTCATGTTCTCTGGGATAGCAGACAGCTCTCTTTTCTTAACTGTCTAGGACCTGCCATTGAGCTTGAAAAAGTAAAACCAGAATCAATTGAGCCTGAACCTGAGGTACAGAAGACCTTCAGTGAGGAAGCAAATACATCAACGTACTATCCTGCCCCTGTTCCAGTAATGGACAAGTATATTCTCGAGAATGGAAAGGTATTTTAAATTAAATATAGCATGAATAATTTGTAAATGTCCATCAGGTGATTTTCTTGTGGAATTCTCATGATCTTGGGGGTTTTGCATGGTAGCAACTTACACAAACTTCCTCAGTTTTCATAAAGGTATGCTATTATGCTGAGGAAAACATGAAATTACAAAAATATGAACAGCATAGAAAATTATCCTCAGTGATGAGAGCATTGAATGCTGTGCAACACAAGGAATACAACTATTAAATATGCATGCACAAGCAAATTGTCATAGCCCTCAATTGGTGACATACCTAAGTCCACCAAATATAAACCAAAGTCAGAGTAACCCACATTATAAAGTTTCATTAGTCTATTTAACAAAAATACTTTTTTTCCAATAGGCTTTTAATGTGCTGTAGTCATATTGTGGAGAAGCTTTCCTGTTTTGTTTTAATTGGAGTCCAGTAAATAACTGTGAACCCTGGAATGAAAATTGGCTCCTTTAAATCTGATAGGAGCGCTGCTACTGAATTGAGCTGATGTACTGCTACTTTCCAGATACTTTTATAAAGTTGGTGAGATACAGTTTGCCAGAACCTGACTGATAGTTTTTCAGACTTCAGCATGTTTGACACATAGTTTGCTCATCTACTGAGGCCTGCTTCTATAGCTGTTGCCATTATCATTAAATGAACATTATATTTCTTTTACAAAACTATGTGTCCTTCAGAATTGCCTATGCTGATCCTATTTCTTAGGATATGTATGCATTCGGTTTCATAATCTGAGAACCTTTAAGGAGGAAATGTCCATTTCAGCTTTGGCATACAGTAGAATTACTGATGGAATAGCATGAAATACACATTCTCAGATTTGTGTTACAAGAATGACAGATGCTTGTGCAGTCTTTCTTGAAGATGAATTCAACATAATTGTTGAGGACAAGATGTATGTGAAAAATAGTATAATCCTGGCAGTTTGACATGTATTTGGTTGAGATAGCTTTTCTTGCCTAACATATTTAACATGTCATTTGCTTATATATTTTGTGTATATTTGTGCAATGAAAACTCAGCATATATTACTGTGAGAGTTTTGTTTACCTCCTTTTTTTCCACTTAAGGTCTGTTGGATAGGACATGTCCCTTAGTATGTGTATGCAGCCTTTCCTGCACCTTTATTTCATCTGCCAGCTTCTTGGCACTTCTGTTGCTTAATTTTTCTCTGTCTTTACCGATATAATATCTCTTTAAGTTTCTTGTAATTTTGGTTTTTCTTTAAGTTTGCTTATTTACTGGGGCTTCAGCCAGTTCAGATGACAGAAATGTGAACTAATAATGTTTTTAGAGTGTTGGAGGGTGATTTTTTCCTGTTTTCTTTATTTATGCCTTTTTTTCATTATTCCTTTATTGACATACTAGAGCAGTTGAAATACTTTTTTAGAAATCTTGCCCTTTGTGGCATCGGATTTGATCTTAGTAGGATTCTTTCAAAGCAGATAAATCTCTCCCCTCCAGAGGGAGAACAGAGTTACTGAAAAAGAGCCTATGGCATTCATTTAAAGAAAAGAAAAGAAGAAAAAAAAAAAAAAAAGAAGAAAAAAGAGTTCATCTTCTGAGGTACATGTTAGCACAGTTACAGTGGTGAGCATTGCTTTGAATTTGCTGTTGTTTCTGTTGCATTGTGCTTGAAGGTTGATCCTGGAGTTGCTGAAATTGGGGGTAAAGTTCCCATTGATTTCATCAAGCCAGGGGTCTGGCCCATGGGGCAGCTTTTCCAGTAAGAAGGAAATGGCTTCTGAATCTGGAGTACAGTAAGCTTCCTATAGCTTTGGGGGTAATAGGAAACAGTACTGAGCCTGTTCCACAGAGAGGTAAACTGAGACATGGATAGATTAAATTCCTTGCTGTAACAGTGCTAGAAATAGAAAAAGGGAGACATAAGATTCCTGTGGCTGTGGCTGTCTGTCATGTAGTTGCTGTTACCATAGGTGTTTCATACCAGTGATAACCTTTTTCAATAAATGAAGCACATTCAAAGAAGAGATGATCTGTCTGAAACATCACTATTAAAAATAGTTGCTGTAACTTGTTGTTTTAAGTAACGTAAAGCTAGTGAATAATGTAGTAGCTCGAGACTAAACAATATTTAGCAAAGACAAACCCTAATTTTGGCAGAGGGTAATCAGATTTTTGATCAAATATAGCAGTCTCTACAACTAATGTAATACAGACATCCAAAATTTGTCGTGTCTCAACATTTCAATTGTAGTTACTTTTGAGTAACTTTTACTCATTTTTACAGTTAACTTTTCCAAGATCAAAACAGAAATAACTGAATTATAACTGCGTCGTGATTATTTTCTGTGCACAGTCTGCTCACTCTGATTGAAGTTGTCTTACAAAATATGTAGAGAGCACCAAAACAGTGTGAATTTTTTTAAAGCCATTATGAAGAGGCTCGACAACAGAGAATGAAAGAAAAAAAAGGGGTGTTCATGTTGTGGTTATTACTAGTTCCATTTCTGTCCATTATGAAATCTAAATACCATGTCGACTTGTGAAAAGCTGCCTAGAATCCCTTTAGTATAGAAGATTCTGCAGGAGAGGCAGCTTGCTTTATGGTTTTATACTTTGAGGAAGTTAGATTTTTCATTTGTTTTTTTATAATGTAGCTGGTAGCCAAACTATTAATATTTTTCTGTTTAAGTTTTTAAACAACTACTTGCTTTTGAAGGATGCCATCGTAATAAAAAATTTCTTCGGGTTATAGCCCTCATTAATAATTAAAGCAAGTTTCCATTTAAAGGAAAAATGATATTTGGTTGAATACAGGCAGTAAAATTATGGGTATATAAAATTTTACAGTAGCTTTGTCCAATTTTCATTGCATTTAATGGGACTTATGTGATACTGTTCAGACCTGTATGGGGAGCAGGCACAGTTTATGTAATGTCACATAAAAGGAATAAAAACGGGAAAAAACAAAAGCAAAACAATTACGGCAAACAGAGTCTCCAAATACAGCTTTGCCACAGAATCTTGTTCGTGGGATTTTTTTTTTTAATTGTGAGGAGGCAGTAAGTTTTTATTAAAGTGTTAATGTTACAGAAAGCACCTCCATTTGATCAGATTTTCTGAAACCTACATTTTGGATATAACAATCAATACGTATTTTTTGTATTTTGCACTTTTATAGATTATGTGAAAGTAAGTTCTGTCTTCTTCTTTTCCAGTGCAGTGAACTCTTATCAGTAATGAGAATAGCTAGGTCACGCATTAGCTTATTATGGATGATAAAGCAAGCGTGGATCCAACTGAATGAAGTTCCATCACCATGTGAACAAAGCATTCTGCGTTCAGAGGTAGTTCAGGTGTCTGCACTGTTCTCTAGGAATTTAGAGCATAGACGTACAAGGTACAAATTATTCTCCGTGGTTCCAGGGGCCAGCGTTTGTGTCCTGGTTGCTCTTATGTCAGACCTGTGCTGGTTACTAGTGCAGTTATTTTCCTTGCTGTTGCTTGATGGTGTCCTGGTTGTCAGGACTATCAGCTCAACGTATATAGTGGCAGCCTAAGGGTGGTACTTGGGATTCTCATCCTGCATTCATCTTCAGTCTGGAGCACTGGGAATCTTGGGGTAGAAATTCGGTGTAGCTCTGTGGGAGTCAACCCAGCATACTCAATGCTGAGGAAGGCTAATAAGCATAACTAGACTCGAGCAGCTTCCTTTTGGAGACTCTACAATGGCTTCACACAGCATTCCCCAGTACCCGTATTATCCTACTTTACTATTTCAATGAGATATCTCTACTCCCCATTGTCTGGATAATGGAAAGTTTATGATGTTGCAGCAATGGGTCATTGCCTTACCACAGAACCGTTTTTACCGGCATAGATTAATCGTACGTGATAGGCAAACTTCATGATAGAATTGGAAGTTTTACAAAGCTTCCAAACTCTCTTGGCTTATGTTAAAATTGGAGCTCTCAGAATACCTTCTTCCCTTCTAGTTACTTTATACAATCAGGCTGAATTTTGCCAGCAGGTACAGGATATAACTTAGGAAGTATTTCCTGCTCTACTGCCTCTGAAATATGCTTTGGGTAAAGTCTGTTTCAGCCAAAGGGAAGCTTTCATATTAAAGACAATGTTTCATCTTGCTCCTGAATTAGGCTGGTGCAACTGCTTTTTTTACATGCTGTGCATATCTTTATAATACTGGATGTGTTTACTGTTTCCTTCTATCTATGTTCCTGACCATAGTCTTTCAGGAGACAGGCTATGCGGTGGGGGTAAGCAGAGAGTAAGAACTGATTACAAAAAGGAACTATATTATATGAGGTTGACTTGAACTCCCTGACCCACAAAGTTGGAGAAGTTTCAGAATTAGGCAAAATGGATTTGTTCAGCCCTAATTACTGTTATTATAGTACCTAATATTAATGTTCCTACAGCACTTGGATACTGTTGTGTGCTACATACCATAGATAAGTTGTTATTATTACTACCTTCTAGGTCCATCTTGGCAGTGGAATTTGGGTAGATGAGGAGAAATGGCACCAGCTGCAAGTAACACAAGGAGATTCAAAGTATACAAAAAATCTAGCGGTTATGATTTGGGGAACAGATGTTCTCAAGAACAGAAGTGTCACAGGAGTTGCAACCAAAAAAAAGAAAGATGCCGTTCCCAAGCCACCTCTCTCACCTCACAAATTAAGCATTGTCAGAGGTAGGTTATTTGAAAACTTTTGCTTCCTGCTTTGGAGTTTAACCATTAATCACTGAGTTGAAAGATGCTTCTTTTCAGCTCATATAAAATTAACTGATTAAAAACTGTAATTCAGATTGCTATTGCATTGTGAAGTGCATACATATCCAGGAAAAGTAAAACACATTGCAATAGCTGTGCACAGTGCAGGCCTTCACAGCTGAAGAGTTGTACATTGACTTCAGTAAGGTTCAAGAAAATCATCACTTTAAACCACTTGCAGGACAGGACTCTGAGCCTGGAGAACAACACGTTGTTCAGGAATTCATTTATAACATAATGATTTTTTTAAATGCATATATTCCTTTTAACAAGCCTGAGCATAGTTTTACCACATTCTTTCATCCAGAATATAACCAACTCTGGCATGAGGCACAGAAACCATTATAGCTGTGACTATAAAAATACGCATACCTTCAGAGGCAAGAAAGAATAGTTTTACACTTTTAAGTGGAGAAAATGGAAATAGTAAAAATTAATTGTTGCACTTGAATTGGAATTTGAACAGGAAGTATAAATCACTGACCTATTTGGCAGGAAAAATTGCAATGACACTTTCAGTAACTGCAAGCCTGAGTCCATGCATGTAGTACTTTGAGAGAGAGAAGGCCTTCTCCTTTATATAAAATGAACAGTGAATTTCAGTCCCCTTGTATCATCGCGCTTGTGTTTTGCATTCATTTCTGTCTCTCTTGGTATTTCAGGCTTCTTTTTAAGTCAGAACTGAGTTGGTTCCTCATGGAATGCATACTGAAATTGGATTTTTAGGTTTTGTGTCCAGACTAAATTGCAGTAGGGCTGAAAAAAATCTCCCTATTTGATTGAGATTCATTATTCTGCATTTCCTGTTCTTAGTTGTTATGTGCTCTAAACCGTGAACTCTTTAAGAGCTGTTGTAATCTGCCTTGGAAGTGCCATGTTTTGGAAGTAAGGAATATGATTCCTCTTTGAGTGTGTGTATGTGTCTGTGTTGTGTGGAGACAAGTTGGAAACTGATCTTTGAACTGTCATCTTTCTTAGTTTGTCAGAAATGAGTAAAAGACTTGTTGCTTTTTGTTTGTTGTTTTTGGTTTTGTTTTGTTTGTTTTGTTTTGTTTTTTTTTTTTTTAACTAATTTGACTCAAGAATATATGTGGAAGTGCAAGCTGTTCCATGCTGATTTTCTAGTTCTGGCTTGGACCATTTGGTGTACAGTCCTAACACACTTACCAAAGTAAGGACATACTGGCCACATAAGGAGTCCACCCTGTGGCTGTGGCTACGCTTCCTAATGGGAAAAAGAATTGGTTACCGAGATGCGTATTTACAAGCACACAGTAAAAAAGTGTTATTTTTCACTGGCCCATTGCAAGGAGCTTTCTGGTTTCCTTCCTGGAAGCTGATGCTCCTCAGCACTGCCGGCAAGGTTGCTGATGTGAGGATATCCTCTTCTACTTCAGTCAGGGCCACTCTGTGTTGCTTGAGCCATTTAAATGATGGCTTTCTTCTGACTCCACTTGTTTTGACTACAGTGAGTTTGAGAGTAAGTTCCAACAAGGTACAAGGTGAGAGGCAGATGGGGCCCTTCCCTTTCTTCTCTTCTATACCTTTACATTTGCCAGCAATTCAGCTCTTCCCTATTTCCTCATTTTTCTGTGTTTTCTATCTTACTTCTGTTTCCAGCCTCAACCCTCTGTTGAATTCTACTGTTCCATGCCCTGGTTTTCCATGTTCCTCTTTCCAGTGTTTCTTTCACCTTGTCTTTGACTCCCTCTTTGTTAGACTCAGGACTGTACAATCCCCTCTTTAACCAGTTAAACTGCACAGCCAGTGTTTAGGTGACATCAGACAGACTTTCTATATCAAGTGGTACCAGCTAGCACATAACCATGATTTTCCACATTGTTGTGTCCTTTGCGTTTGCGTCAATGTTAGCAGGTCTTGTCCCATCATGCCAGCAGTGTTTCCTGGAAAGCTGGAAGCAATCAAATAAGAAGCTGTATGGAGAAGAAAACAAAACAAAACAATGAGTAGCAAGTGGACAAATGGTGAAATGTGAGGAAGTTGAGTTTATGTAGCTAATAGTTTGGATCAGGCATCACCGAACAAGTAAAGCTCCTTGTTGGTCTTTGAAGTCTACTTGAATCTTTGGTCCAGTCAGAAGTACGAAGGGATATTTGTAAGTTCCTCTAAAGCTGAAAGACAAGCCCCTAAGCCAGCATCCTTATGTGACTATTAAACTCTTATTTCTGTAGCCCCTCATAGAAATGGAAGAGATGGAAGAAGAGTAACTATGATGATCATGGATCTGTCTGGGTCACACTGACTTTAAGAATCACAGCTGATGAATGATTTCTGTCAAGTGATTCTTTACTTGACATTGTAACTAAACTAATAACATAGCCTGTCTTTTATTGGAAGTTCATCTTACTAGGTTTATCTGATGTAACCTAGGAGTATTTCTGAGATTGTTGTAGTACAAGCTTATGTCCTACAAACACACGGGGTTTCTTCAGGTTCTCAGTGATGTGCCTCTTCTTAGGTGTTGTATTTCAAATCGTAGTTTACTGATAATCAGCATTTCAGCTACCAAGCTGAATGCTTATTAATTTTATTTATTTTATATTCAGTACATCTTTCAACATAAAACTCATGGGTTTTTTTTAGATGTCATTGTTCTGTGGACACAGAGTAACTTATTTAAAATAGATTTTTGAATGACAGCATTAGCTCTTAATGTGTCTGATATCTCTAGTTTCTTAAAAATTCCTATTGTGTAGTATGTAATAAAGAAATTTAAAAAGTACAATGCATGAGCACTGTTACAAACCTTGTTAATGCAAAATAACCTTTTATAAAACTTCTGAGAGGTTTCAAAATGAACTATAAAGCATGCATAGTACTTAATTTTCATAACTCTTTAATATGATGCATTAGAAATGTTGTAAACCATGTTAATTAAGTGATAATCTCTATGGCTTATTGTATATGAAGCAATAAACAGCTACTGGAATAGATTACTAGGCAAACCACAACGGAGTTTGGTTAACCAATCTGAGAAGCCAACACAACAAAATACATTGTTCTGGTTATGAAACCAAAAAACGGAAAACCTGCCTAAGATGTTGAGTGTGTTGCACCACCTCCGATTTCAGTAACATCTGCAGGATTCTAGCACTGAAATACCAACTCCGTGAAGCAGAATTCTTTCAACTTTCATTGCCCTCATTATTTTGCAGTTATTACTATTGCTTGCTTTTTGTATTCCAGTTAAGTTCACAAAGTGTATAGAGCAAACATGCAAGAAGATGGCTCTTGCCCTGAATAATCTACTGATAAAAGCAAAATATGCCTAGGGACAGCATATCTGATAAAGACGCAGACATTAATGTATGTTGAAGAGATTTAAAAAATAAAATACATTGTTTAATGTTTTCTACTGGTTACTGCTTCTCTTCCTAACTGTTATCATTTACTTGCTGTCTTGAAGGTGTGAAGGTAGGAGTGACTCACAGGGAACTGTTGATAACAACAGTTCTGGTGAGACCATTCACCTGGGAAAAGATTCTAAATCTGCTGTGGAGACATGGACAAATGCAAGTTAGGCAGGCAAGACTGACACGGTAAAAGGTTGGATTTAGCCTTGTTTCTGTATAGAAATCTTATTAATGTAGTCACAGCATAACTGGAAGTTGGTCATTCCAAAGATTCAAGCCTGGTGAAAATTCTTGACTTTAACAAGATAGCCAGTGAATAAATGAAAGGTTCTGTTGTCCTGAAACAAATATACACAATGCTTATGAAGTGCTGTCTCTTGAGTAGTTAGCCCAACACAGGGCTATATTCTTTTCTAAAAATATCCTAATGGCTTTTTCCTTTTTTTTTTTTTTTTCCTCCCCAGAATGTTTGTATGATAGAATAGCACAAGAAACTGTGGATGAAACTGAAATTGCACAGAGACTCTCCAAAGTCAACAAGTACATCTGTGAAAAAATCATGGATATCAATAAGTCATGTAAAAATGAAGAAAGGAGGGAAAGTGCAAAGTACAATTTGCAATAAATTTTGGATTTTTAATAAAGTCTTAGTGTTTTACTTAAGTGTTGCTTTTTGATTTGTGTGGCATTTTCGCTGATGGGAGAAGCTGACTTGAAGCATTACTCTCCTCCTATAACTGATTCATTTTTTGAGCGGTTCTGTCAAAAGCCTTTCTATGGTGTAACCTGTTTTAAATAATGTAATATATATTGTAAGTCCACTCACAATGAAACAGTGAATTTTCAAAGGTTTCTCCAATGAGTTGCAGTATGTTATCTGCAGTTCTGTATACAGGTTGTAATTCTGCAAACACCAACCCATTCTGCCTACATTTCGTGTTACTGAAGTTAGTAAATCTAGGCTGCAGTAAACATCTGCTTAGAAGGAAGAACTGTACAAAATCCACTTTGCTATTGAAAAAGGTTTTATTGTATTTTACAAAGTGTTTTTCTGAACTGAAATTTTAATCGTTTGTTTTTATAAATATTTGTTTTGATCTCTAACAATATATTTGGTCAAAACCACACAGAGAACGCTTCTTTTTCACTTATTATCTTATAGATAGATCACCATTGCCATCATAGCTTAAAAAAAACAAACAACAAAGAACCCAAAGTTGTAAGTTGTAAAATCATGACAATTTATTTTTAAAAATAAGTAAGTCTAAAAGCAGTTCTTTCTGAGACACTGAGGCACTTCTCAGGTTTCTAGTTATGGTACAAAGCTCCTCAGTATGTCCATATTACATTTCTTGACACACTATATTTTTAGCGTATTTGTATTTTCAAATGATTTAAAGATTACCACACTATGACAAGTTTATGTGTAACAGAAAATTTACTACCTTTTTGTCCAAATTCATAGTTTAACAAGGGAAATTTTTAGCACAAATTTAAATTAAAAATAAAAGTAATTTTCTACATTAATGTTAGATTTTCACTACAAAGTTATAAGGAATAATTTGTTGTCTGAATTATGCCTTATTGTCTGTAAGTGAAAGAAAATAACCTGAAGTGTTTTTTCGTGAAGGATTTTGAAGATAAGGTTTGTAGAGATAACTTAGGGCCTGGACTGATCAATTTTGAGGATGTTATATTCGTGATCTTGGTTCACCTTCCATTTACTTTGCGCATGCAGACGTGATTATCTACCTTTCAGGTTGTCTGCTCCTGAGTTACCAGCATTTGTTTCTCTTCTGCCACTGCAATTCTGCTTCCTGTAGTTTTGAAATACTTAGCGCTTCTTGTACCCTGTAGCACAGGTATACTCCAACATTAAGCCTATTTCAATGTCCTGTATGCGTAGACAATTTGGAAAGGAGCAATGTAAGGATACTTTAAAGGGCTGGGATGGATGGAAGAAAGAGGGGAGGGGAGGCGGTGTGCTAGAACTGCAGGGTCTGATTTGGGAGAGATGGAGAAAAACCCCACATTGTCTCTTCTTGCACACCACACGTGCTTAAATGATGTCTTAATTCAGGGCATATGTATTTGTTTGATGCTTTCAAAAGTGCAACTTCGTGATTGGATGGTGCTAATCTAAGTATGCCTTGCTGCCAAACAAGTACACCCCACTTCTGCTGCTCGTGTCCCTGCATTCCTGTCCCTTCACTTGAACTGGCACTTGTGATTGTGCAGATGTGTCAGATCTCACTGATTTCCATGGTTCATTTCATAAGATCTGGTGCCAATAGGATGGAGCCAGGGAGCATTCAGCACGAGGGACGGGAAGAGGAGGAGTGCCTTTTTACAGTGGGTTATGTCTGCCCTGAAATTGCATTTAACAGCCTAGCTTGTCTCCTGTTAATCTCAAAGTGTTCTTAGGTAGTGTTTAATGAAGTGCATAAATGTTTATGCTTCCTAATTTGGGATGCTAAATAGCAAATTAGTGTTTATAATGTCAGTGCATGTATCCTTTTATTAATTAAAGAACAAAATAGAGATAACATTGAAGAAACACTTAAACAGCAAGTTCCCACTTTTCAAGCAGACTTGTGAATGTGCAATTATTTTTAAGTGATACTAGGGCAATCCACTAGTTTTGGGGAAAATGTCCATAATTTCCTCATCTTTTATGGCTTTAGTACTAATGTGTTTTCATTGTAACAGATTCTTTAATGAGAAGATAACGCTGCACTTCTTAGAAGATAAGCCTATTTGAGACAGAATTTTATGAAACCTGGGAAAAGCAGATTAGAATTTAATTATAGTTGGGACTCCAGCCTGGCCCCAGAAATCAGAGATTCTAAGTCTCCACAAAAGAAGCATCATCTAAGGATTCTCCTTGACAGACTTGCCCCATCAGATGTGAATGCTGCATACTGCTGAAGAATTTAAATGTTCAGTTTGGGGAAAGTATCTTGGAAGTCTTCATTCACTTTTCCCTGGAGTTTCTATCAGCCCAGGTCCAGCAGACAGATCTTAGTGGAGTTCAACAGGAGTATTTGGGTGGCACAAAAGAGTTCACTTCCCTTTGAAGTGTAGCGTCGTCGGAGGCTAATACTGTGCCCTTCATACTGGGCAACTGTCATGTAATGTGAATGTCGCCTGAAGCTGTGTTGAGTTATGGCAAAGGAGTAGGACATCTTAAAGGTAATTGCCTCTTTATTGTATGATAACTCAAACTAAATCTTTGGATTTCTGGAAATAATTTTTTGCTAATAATAAGCCAGTTTTGCACACTGTAGTCGTAAGGCAGTATGCAGAGGGCTCTGCAATTGATAGCAGGTGTGTAGGAATAACATCTTTACACTTACATTTGGTCATTACTCTTGTTTTTTCCCTCCCTGTGAACCCATACAAAGACGATACAAGTCTTTCACATAGGGGAATGGGCTACAGTTGTCCTGTGTTCTGGCATTACCCAAGAAAAATACAAAATTTAATGGGGTGTGCTTTTCTGCTTCGAAATACTCATGTATAAATTAACTGAATTTCATTTCACTATGTTAGACTGCATTTATGGCCAGTGCAGTTCTTGTTGGTACATTAATTCTTCCATAATTGTGCCTGCCTGTACATAGTTTTGCTTTGTTCATAATGCATCTGCCATGAATCTACCATAGGAAACTTTATGCGAAAATAGCGTCTACTACTCTAGCTTAACTTCATACCTGTACATCATGTGAAACGGGAGAGAATTTTGACATAAAATGAAGTGGGTTTTATTTCACCCTGTAATACCCCTCATTCGTCATTCTAAGGTTTGTGCTCTGCTGTTACTTCATACTGTAAACCTGGATTTGTAAGTATCAGAAAAGCAGATTTAAGAGGAACTTACTTTTTGTCCTGAGAGATCAATGCATACTGTTTGCTACTTTTTTCATCGAAGAAGGTAATACTGTTTTATGAATAATCTGATCATTTGTTGTCACACATTGCAGCTGTAATTTCTGATATTCATGACCTGATCCATATTAAAGTGCCTCTGGCACACTTACAAGGAAGCAAGATTAGAGTTAACAAAAAGGACTTTATTTTCTATTAATGATTTTATAAGGGAAATGAGCTATTATATTAAAGGAAAGACTCCTACCAGAGATTTTAATACCTGAGTCGAGATGTCTAGCGACTCAATTGAAAAAAGACTGCTAGTATTTGTTGGAGAGAAAAAAAAAATTGTTAGGTTCTGCAGTTACAGAACAGGTTTGGATTTAGTGATGCTTTATAGGTATGGGAGTTTTTTTTTTAATACAGCCAGACTAAACTACTTATTTAGTCATGTCGGAGTTGAACTATAAGTAGAAGGAATTTAAGGTTGCATTTGGTTAGTTATTAAGCATGACTGTCAAAAGAAGGTGCGGTCTTCCTGCAGGAGGTCGCTTCTTTGCACTGAACCTTTGGTGTTGTATCCAATAGATTACAACAGTGATGCTTTGTTGTTTTAAGCCTAGATTATTGTCCTCTTGGAAGTTTTATGTAGCAATAAATTGAATTTTTTTTTTTTAGTGAAATTGTAAAGATAATGCAAATTCATAATTCAGAATCTGTAGACTTATGAAAAATGAAGCTAAATTCAGGTCATACTTAAAATAATACTGTCGTGATGCAAAACCCTAAAGGAGTGAGAAGATTCTGAATTGGTAACATTCTGTATTAGCTGTAACCTCACTGTGTGTTAGCTGCATTTGTAACTTTGGAGAATCCCAAAATTGACTGGTTTCTGAAAGGGAAAGCAAGGTTGTATGACCTGGAGCTGTATTGAGGATTATTTTAATATTCCATCTTTTGGTGTGAGAATGACCACTCTTCACAAAGATACAAAGATGAATCTTGGGCTTCTTCAGAATGAGTTGGTAGTTTTCTCAGTAGTCTTTAAAATATTTGTCATTCTGTGCATGCCTTTAGTCTCAGATTGATGAAGTCATAACGTCAATTGCTTAGACTTTATTGGTGTCATTTTTTTCATCATAACAGTGTGGAAATGTGAAGTGATTCATACAACACTGAGGCAATAAAAATGTTATGAAGTACAATCATTGCATGTTTCATGCTCAGTAGCTAATTTTTAATTTCACCATCTTGGACACTTTTTCATCCCCTCAGGCTTCCTAAGTAGGGAAGGAGAATCATTTGGACTTGGAAAACAGGAACAGTGATTCAAAAAGGAATTAATTTACTTGGCTGTTAATTTGCTTTACTTTTGCAATTATTTCTGCTGTTTATGTTTGAACAGTAACTTTCATTCTGTGCGTCAGATATCCGCTTTTTCAGTCCTGCAGTGAGATCACAGTCCTGTGGTTGTGACGTCATTTGTCTACCATAGAGAAAAATACCTCACCGATGACATCAGACAAAGTTACAATATGTCTGGATCAGAACAGAGGTGGAAGTGAGTGTGGGAGGAGAGGAAGAACCTTGGGCCTAAACTGTTTTTTTTTTCTGTGCTGCTGCCTTCTGACTAGAAAACTTATTCCAACAAAATAAATTATTTCTTCCACATTTAACAGCATAACAACTTTATTTTCTTTATCGATAGTAAAACCTTAATGGAACTAAACTCCTATATGTTTAATGCATTGGGCTACTTACTTTCATATCAAATTTTAGTCTTTAGTGATTTG